GGCAGCAGCGCCCGCGGGAGGGAGCGAAGCCTCCCTGAGCCAACGCAGCCCGCGGAGAGGGGCCTTTGGCTCACGACGGCTTTTCTGTTCCCTCCCGCAGCTCCTCCTTGCCCTCACTCCAGGGATTTCCAGCTCGGGAAGCCATGGCACCCAAAGGGAAGGTAAGGGTGACCCACACCCGGCAGGGATGGGTACGGAGGGTGCCGCAGGGCAGACCCCAGCACCAGGCAGGGTCTCCATTGCGCACCAAGGATGGTGGTGACGCGCTCGGGCTGCCCGCAGCCTGTTTACATTCCTGCCTGCCCAGCCAGCGCTGTCTGGATGGGATGCAGATAGGGAAAGCGCTGGGAGAGCAGGGATAGCGAGGAGCAAAAATCCTTTTGGGACTGGCATGGGACGGGGGAGGGAAGGAGAGGAGAAGAGACGTTGCACTGGGGATTTGGGTTTTTGCTGGGGAGAAATCCCAATGGTGCCTGAGCCCGCTGCGAGGCGTGCGGCCCCGCTTTGACCTCCCTCCCCCAGCCTGGATTTCTCCCCCTCTCCAAGCCGGGGCTGGAGCAATGTGGCAGCTGGGTGAGCAGGTGCTCCCTTGCAGCCAGGAAAACATCTCGGCGTGGGTGGAAAACGCTGCCTCGGCGGGCAGCTGTGGCTGCCGGGGTACAGCATGGCTGCACTGCGCCAGGCTGGGGAGGAGTCCCAGCCCAGAGCCTCCCTTCTCCACCGCTCGGGGCCAGACTCCACTTTCCATTCCCTCCAGAAATCAAGTAATCATTGCCTTAAGCTCTGTCACGTGCGGCTCACTGCCCAGCCAAGAGGTGGTTTTGCCTCTGGGTGGGGAAACTGAGGCACAGCGTGGGTGAGCATCACCCCTGCAGTGGTCCAGGACCCCGAGAAGCCACGGTGTGAGAGCGAACGAAGCCACGCTGGGAATTTTGCTTCCACCCTCCTGGCCCCAGCCTGGCTTATTTTTAGCTGGGAGGTCCCAGGCAGGCCGGGATGACTCAGAGGGCTTGTTCCCACGAGAGTGCAGGGAGCACAGCACCAAGCTCCTGCCTCAGTTTCCCTCGCCCCCGCCATGGCAGCACTGCGGCAAGGCAGGCAGCTCGTGCGTCGGTGGCTCAGCAGGCAGCAACACAGCCCTGCTCCTCCTCCGCATTTAACCAGGGCCAACATCTTGTCTCCCCGTTGCCAGCACCCTCTGGCCACCCTTGTCCCCTGCTGCTGTCTCCGGGCACCTCCTTGCCCTGCAACTTCTTATTTACGTCTCTGCGAGGCATGTGTGTGGGCAGGAGCCTGCACCGAGCCAGGAGGGTCTGGGAGCTGCCGGGAAGCGGGGCTAAATCCAGCTCTCTGGATGAATTGCCTGCAATACGATCCGTCCCTGTGCCTGTCCGGCTCCCGCGAAGGGCAGCGTCTCCTCTTGCCCGACCTGGTCCCCACCACGTGGGACACCAGAGCCAGCAGCTCCTCCAGGGAGGGCCTGTGGGATGTGCCCAGCCCAGACTGGTTTCTCTCTGGAAATGGGGGTACAGAGGCCAGTTTCTTTCTGAAGGTGCTGACTGAGATGTGCAGCAGAGCTGTTGTGCTGTGGAGTTGGGATGGGACCCGTGCCCGGTTGGCACGCGGTACAAGCAGAGTGCAGGGGGGTGCTCAGAGTTTTCCAGGGTGCTGCCACAGCCGAGAGCCCTGGCTCCCAGCCCTCCTGCTCCCCAGTGAGACCGCCGAGGAAATGCTGCTGTCCAGCTCCTTCCACTCTGTGCCTCCAGTGGGGATGCGTCCCAGTTCCTTATGTGGGGCTGGGCTGGTTTCACATCTGCTTCCACCCAGGGTTTGTGCTGATCTCGTGCAGAGTCCAGCCCCAGGCTCCCGCGAGGTGAATTCCCCCGGACAAAGCCAACCTGGGGAGCGAAACCCCAGCCCCCGCTTTTCCCTGAGGTCTCTGTTTGGGGGTGTCGCTCCTGGGCTCCCCGTGGTGCAGCCTGGAGGTGCAGAGGAGCAGACTGAAGTGGGTCATGCCAAACCCCAGGATTTCTCAGGCTCCTGGGAAAGCCTTTCCCTGTAGCCAGGATCTCAGCTCCGACCCCTCGGACCAGCCTGGGTCCCGCAGGACCTCACGCTGGGGCAGGACAAGCTGTTGGCAGCTCTGGCACTTCTCGGTGCTTTCCACTTAGCAGCCCATGATTTTGTGCCTGTAAACGTGTCTCCTCATTTTGAGGCCATGCAGAGCTTGGGCATCCTCAGCATCCAGAGGGTTTCCCTGCTCGCAGCAGGCGTTGCAAAATGACTTCCATCATCGCTCCCAATCCATCCTCGATAACTCCTGTCAGCCCGGCTGCACCGCAGGGCATCACCCCGGTCCTTGGGTGCCTGCCCCTGCATTCAGAGTGTCCAGCCCTCCCACAGGGTCTTCCCTCTTCCTGCCCACCCTCCCCCCCACCCCGCCCCAGGACAGTGCTGGGAACAGAAAGAGCTGAAGGAACCTGCCTTCAAACCCTGGCTCTCGCTGGTGCGGGAGGGAGGACTGCATCCAGCTTAAACACAGGGCACAAGCAGCCAACAGAGCGATGCCAGCGAGACACGAGAGGGAAGGCTGTGTACTCCAGTGACCCAGCACACAAACAATCTGCACAGCGAGGAGAGCAAACAGGAAAGAAAGGAACTGAGGAAAAGAACAAGTGTTTATGTTTGAGGCTGAGCTTTGCCTTCGGGCAGCCCCGAGCGGGAGCGGATCTTGCCCGAATCCTGCTCAGCTTCAACTTCTCCTTCCCCCTGTCCTGCTAGGAGCCGGTGGCTGCTCCTTCTCCTTTCACCCTCTCTCCTCCTTTCCCCTAGGTCTACAGGGGTTCGGTGAAGGATTTCCCAGGCTTTGATGCCAGTCAGGATGCAGAGGCCTTGTACAATGCCATGAAGGGATTTGGTACGGATGCTCCTGGACTGTCACGCCGGGGCCGCCCTGATCTTCCCTGTTCCTTCGGTTGACCCTTGCATGGCTGGGCATCCTGCACTGCTTCCCCTTTCAGCTGCCTGTCTGCTTCAGCACCGTGCCAGGACCTCCCCCAGCTCCCCTTTCCTCCCCGGGGCCAGCTTGGCTCTGCTTCTCCTCCCGGCCCTAAGCTGGAAGCAGCTCTGGGCACAGCAGGATGGCTACGACCAGCCCAGCCATGGGGGGTGAGACCCAGCCGTGGGGCTAAACGTGACTCTCATCTGTCCCCGCAGGCAGTGACAAGGAGGCCATCCTTGACCTCATCACCTCCGTGCCCCCACCGCTCCCTGGTCCCGCTCAGAGATGCTGTGGAGCAAAGGGTCCCCCAGCCCCTTTCTCCCCCTCCACCAGGACCTCATCGCAGACCTCAAGTACGAGCTGACAGGGAAGTTTGAGCGGCTGATTGTGAGCCTGATGCGGCCCCCAGCTTACAGTGATGCCAAGGAGATCAAAGATGCCATCGCGGTAAGGGGTGGGCAGCCCCCCCAGGACCCCTCTGAGGATGCCCTGGCTGGCTCTGCCATTGACAGGGCTGCGTCTCTGCCCGCAGGGCATCGGCACGGATGAGAAATGCCTCATTGAGATCCTCGCCTCCCGCACCAACCAGGAGATCCACAACCTGGTGGCTGCCTACAAAGACGGTGAGGGCTGGGGAAGGGCAGGGCCTGCCCCATATCCCCTTGGGGTGAGGGGATCCATCTCTCCAGGCCCTGACCTCTCCCTCTTCCACCAGCCTACGAGAGAGACCTGGAGGCTGACATCGTTGGAGACACGTCAGGCCACTTCAAGAAGATGCTCGTTGTTCTCCTTCAGGTATGTCCGTCTGTCCAGTGTTTGTAGGTGGTGGGTGCCTGAGCCCAGCAGGGCTGAGCCTGTCTGTCCCACAGGGCACCAGGGAGGAGGATGACGTGGTGAGCGAGGACCTGGTGGAGCAGGATGCCAAGGTGAGGCTGGTGGGTGGCTGGGACGGGTGGCATCTAGGCAGGGACGGGCGGGTGGCACTGGGACCATGCAGACCTAGGGCTGCGAAGGGTGGGTGGGTGTCAAGGGCACCCATGCTTGGGCAGAGCCCCACGTGAGCAGCACCCGGACTCAGGCTTTGCCACCTTCCCCATCTCACAAGGACCTGCTGGAAGCTGGCGAGATGAAATGGGGCACGGACGAGGCCCAGTTCATCTACATCCTTGGCCGGCGAAGCAAGCAGCACCTCCGCCTGGGTGAGCATCTCCTGCAAGCCCGAAGCTGGGCTTGAAGGTATCTTGGCAGCTTCTCCAGGCATTATCTGGCTCTCGTCCCACAGTCTTTGATGAGTACCTGAAGATTTCCGGGAAGCCAATCGAGAGGAGCATCCGGGGAGAGCTCTCTGGTGACTTCGAGAAGCTGATGCTGGCCGTGGGTACGTCAGCCCCTGTGTGGGGAGTGCTGTGGAATCGCGCCGCTGGCCTTGACAGGGTGGGAGGGCTCAGCCCAAGAGCCAGCAGGGTTTGGGTTGTGGCTGTGCCTGGTTTCAGGGAGCTCAGGGAGGCTCCTTCAGGGTGGGTGGGGATGCTGAATGCGGTGCCTGAGGGGCACCGGTGCTCAGAGGCTCGGGGTGCTGGTGAAGCCGGGTGCCAGCATCCCTCACCACGCCTCAATTTCCCGGCAGTGAAGTGCGTCAGAAGCACGGCAGAGTACTTTGCTGAAAGGCTCCACAAGGCCATGAAGGTGAGTGGCTCACCCCTTCCCCAGGGCATCCCCCGTAGTGTTTTGGGGAGCTGGGCAGAGGAGGGGTCCCCTTGCCACGGGGTGCTGCTGGAGGGCACGGTGATGCAGGTCCATGAAGACAGGACCTATGTGACCTGGGGTCTCTGCTCTTCCCTCCAAAGGACTCATTCCTTCAGACCCAGGGCTGGGTAGAAATCTGACAGAGGGTCTCAGGTGTGATGGGCTGAGCAGGGTTGCTCGGCCATCCCATGCTCGATGCGCGGGCTCCTCCGTTGCAGGGGCTGGGCACGAGAGACAACACGCTGATCCGCATCATGGTGTCCCGCAGCGAGATCGACATGCTGGACATCCGGGAGGTGTTCAGGACCAAGTATGAGAAATCTCTTTACAACATGATAAAGGTAAGCGCTGTGGGTCCCCAGCCAGCCTCCCAGCGGCTGCTGGTGCTGCCTCCCTCGCAATGCCAGTGCCCGTGGCCCCTGTGCCGGCTGGGGGCAAGGCTCAGTGAGACCCCTCTCCACCAGCCGATACCTTGACCCTCCGTGATGCATGGTTCTCCGTTTCCGTCTGTCTTTCCAGGAGGACACCTCCGGGGAGTACAAGAAGGCTCTGCTGAAGCTGTGTGGAGGGGACGATGAGTAAGACTGCCTGTCACCCCATCTGTCCCTCTTTGTCCCCTTGGTGCTGGGTACCAACCCCCGGGTCAGAGCCTGGCGGAGCACCTGGACCAGCAGCACCCGCAGCGACAGCGGTTCGGTATGGGGGGTCCTGGGGCCCCTCGGCACGGGAAGCGCGATGCCATGGTCCCTTCTTGGCACGTGGCAGCCCTGCAGGACACAGACAAACACCTGGAGGGGGAGGATGCTCCCATGGGGGCCGTTGGGATTTACCACCCGCTTCCCCTCCCTTCCCACCCAGCTCCTGCCCCCCGCGCCCCGCACACACCGGGTGGCACGGTGGCCAAAGTCGAGGTCAGCACCCCTGGCCCCCTCTGTACCCCCTCTCTTCTCCCTGCCAGCTCAGGACCCCCGCCTGCTCCTCGCTGCTGTGGGGCACGGCCAGCCCCACGCCTCTGCTCTGCCTCTCGCTCTGCAGCTTCTCTCAGCTCCTTTCTCTG